AAGCAGCTTGCAATATGTTACAAAAAAGTATGTAAATAAACAGCACAAGATCGTTAGAAAAAAAAACTCATAAATTTCACTACATTTTCATTTGTGCATATAGGCGAAATTTTGAATTTCTAAATTCTTTCAAGTCTCGACGGATGTAATAAATAAAGTACATATATTCTTATCAAAACATTCCGCAACGGTTTATAGCATTTAGGTAGCTAAAAATATTTACGCACGTGAATTTGTAACTATGTATAAACTAACAATTGCGAGAGTCATCGAACTTTTATGGCCCAAATCATTGTGAGTCAAAGCGATAAATGTATGTACATGCGAAGAACTTTTCATTGAGGTAACTTTTTTAATGCCTGAATTATAAAAGCAGCCAAGAAGAAGGCTAAATAGCCGGCACCGAAGCAAACATCTGCGATATTAGTAAAAAACCGCCAACCCTGCTGACGTGAAGAAGCTCGGGAATCAGGACAAAGGGATGTACAGACATTCTTGTATAACCTCTACTGAATTCCTTGAACTTGATGAGTTTGCCACTAAGGAACGCATAGCTAAAGGCTATGTCTAAAAAGATATCAACAATTGTTAATTTTGTCTTAACCTAGACTAAAACCTGCTGAAAAGGGTACGGAGGTACACAAATAGCTTAACTTTCATTACCTTAGCTAGACGTCGAAAAGATTTTAGGGCAGTTTTCTCAAGTAGGTTTTTAAATTTATCTGCCATTTAAACATATATTTTTTTCTGAACAAATGTGTTTGAACGGCAGATATATTCTAAAACCTACTTGTGGAACGGCACTTAGTAAGCCAAAAATCAGAATAGGCTAGTTAGTTTGCCATATCCGTAAGAAAAGAATCCTGCTAGGTGTTATCGATGATTGGAAGAAGACCGGAGCGATTGCTGCTTTAAGTGTGTAGAGAAATGGTAAGCAGGACTAGTGAAAAGATCAGTTAGGGTCATTATTCAGCTGATGAACAAGTGCCCAGTTAATCAGCCTGCCTTAATAACTAAAATCTGAAGACGCTAAAATTAAATAAAAGCATACTTTCATTGACACATGCAAAATCTACTTTCCTTTGACAGGAAAGAATGTTTAAAAAAGAACGAAAATGAAAGTGGTTTCAACCGTAGCTCACGGATAATTTTCAAGACTGAATTTATTTTCAAGATTTCGTCTTATTTTTAATTTCTCTCTCTCTACAATTGTTTACTTAAAAATTAATTTCACAACGACGCCTTGGCGTTGCATCAACCAACGAAGCAAAATTAATAGTTTACATTAAGAACGGAAATTGCATATTGGCTTACATTGAATTCACTGCCATTCGATTTATGGATTTTCGGAATGAGATTTTTGTTTATAAGTGGCATAGTAACACTTATTTATGTGGTCTGCAGTTAACATAAGTGGAATTTTTTATAAAATTTGGAATTGAAATTAAGAACGTAAATGGCATATTAAGTTACATTGAATTTGTTGCGATATGCTTTATGTAATTTGTGTTTACAATTGCTCTTATCTATACCACTGTGTGTGGTCTGCCGTTAACTTGCATACTTAGAGGTACATCCTAATTGTGTACGAAATTCAAAATGCAACCCTCTTTACGGTATCGTAAGGGGGTTCTAGGAAGTGGGGGAAGGGTCTTATTCATTTTTTTTTTGTTATTTTCCGTTTCAGCGGTCCAAAAAACATAAGAATACACATCCATCTTAACTTTGCCTGAAAAATTAAATAACGGGAAAATGGTGAATCGAAATTTTTTTTATGGGAAATAGTGGAATTTACCCTCAGGCTCGCAACATTTTTTGTTTGTGCGTCTGTATAATTAACATATTACTCTTTACGGATTATCTACCTAAAAGTGTCCAAGACCTATTTTCTGGTGTTTGGCATGTTTTTGAAAATTTTTTGAAAAAAAAAACTATCACAGTGCTACTTGCGGCATAGATGCTCATCGCATATACTTTAATATTTAATATCTCCACTCATTCCGGCGCAGCTTATAGAATTAGAGAGTTCATAAGCCACGATAAGATGTCGGCGGAATTTGGTTACTGTTGTTCTATAACAACATCGCATTCTTGAGAAGAGATCCCTAAATAGACTCTTAAAGCTCAAACAGTCCGAGTTAATCCGGATTAACGCTGCCGTCTGTTTGAGCTTTTAGGACACTCCTCTGGATATTTTCGCACATACCTATATTTCTTAAAGCCTTCGCAAATAACCAATATAGATATTTAAAGTGGCTTTGGTTGGGCTCATCGAAAATCGGGCATCAAAGTTTTTATCACATACGTATGTACATATGTACTTATGTATTTATTTTTATAAAAACTATGAATAAGAAAATGATGGCATTCATTTTACTTTCCCGCTTAATCCATTAAAATAATTACAGTTTTTTTAATTAATTTCAACTTTTTACTAAACATTTGCCAATCCAAACGAAAAACACGGACAACAATTTGTTCGAGTCACTGTATGTTTTTCATCTATTCTTAATTAGTAGTACACACTTGTTTGAGCTCATCATGGCCACACCAAGGCATAATAATTTTTATCATACATATTTTTAATCACCAACCATCCGCTTCGTTGAGCTAAATAATAATGAAGAAAATTGTTTAAGTGCCTTTTATTTTGGTTTTTAGTGGCATGATTTACTATTATATGTATGTATGTATGTATACTAATACAAGTATTTATATTGGAAATTTTTGGCAAATTCTTCCAAAATTGCGTGCATATGCAAAAATTGAATTGACCTTCATGAAGGTTACTTCAACCCATAACACAAAAACACATACATATCTGCATACTTTTAAGATATATATGACTTATACATACATATGTATGTAGTATATCAAGACAAAACTACATACTTTGGTACTGAGTAGGTCAGATATAATACATACATACATACATATTTATTTTTCCGTCTGTGAATATACCGAAATTAAAATAAATGGCACGTGCCTGCGTTGTACGAAACAGCTCCTCTACATGAAATGCCATGTGACAAAGGCACCCCCACGCCAATCACATGAGTGACAGTGATGTGTGTGTGTGTGTGGAAAATTAAGATTGCGGCACATGTCTTTTTCTTGTTTGTTGTTCCCTTACTGAATACCGTACATCTCTGATCGAGATAGCGTAGGTTTCAAAAGATCAAATTAATAAGCGCCCTGGGATGCCAGGATATTAAAGAGGAATCGCTATGATTTCTCGAGCACATACCACTAGGAAAGAATACTGTAGTTAGTTATATCAATGGCTTCATTTGAATGATATTCAAGAGATCACACGACTCAAGTACTTAGCATGAAAGACACTGTCCTGGCGCTGCCAACGTAAACGTACTAGAAAAAAATCTACCTGCCTAGCACCTGAACTGGTTACCTATGACAATATTTTCATGCTAGTGCCTGTTTTGGCACTGTCGCCAGGCTCTAGACGGAATTGGGGCTTTATCTAGAGATCTTCCGGCGGCGTATATACCTATTGGAGTAATAATATTGTACTTACTTTCGGGTAGTGAGGATAAACCAAGATTGGATTTCCAAGAACTCCAACATAAATATGTATTTATATTAGGGTGGTCCAAAAAGTAAAGTCGGAATTTTACCCCCTAGGTTTGTTCTATATCGAAAAAAGTGTACCCCTATTTTTTATTTTGAAATAAAAAATGTTTAGAGGTCGCTCAAAGCATTCAAAGGTTTCCATATATTTTTGTATGGGGAAAAAACAACTTTTCGTAGAAATGGTATAGAGTACTTGAAAATCAATATTTTTCAATCGAAAAACTCTGGTTCTCTTCAGAAGATTTTCAATAATAATACCCAATTGTTTATTTAACCATTTTTTAATATTAACGTTTTTTTATTTTTCCCCCATTGAATTTTTAGGGGTTTTTGTGGGTTTTTGACGGGACTTATAAATTTTAGTTGCGATAAAAAAATGGTTAAATAAATAATTGGGCATCTCACAAACACAGTACTACTTCTCATCCTGCCCACACTACGCCTTTCCAAATATATATATTATTTATACGTACAACAAATCGTCGGATCCTAAGAGAAAATACGTTGCTGGGATTAATAATTTTTTTCGAAACTATTTTTTATTATTCCCAGTTACGTCTCTTCTGTTAGCAACTGTTGATATAGACACACATACATACATATATGCTACATACTTTAAAATATCTTAACAGCTCAAATACTAATGTGATCCACTATTTCTCTTTTCCCATTTGCAGCAAATATGTCCACCGTTTTAGAGAATCTGATGAGCCAAGTGGCCGAAGTCTTGCCCTCGAGTGGACGCAAAATATCCATTGTCGGTATTGGCCAAGTTGGCATGGCCTGTGCATTCAGTATTCTTGCCCAGAATGTTTCCAACGAGATTTGCCTTGTCGATGTGTGCAAGGATAAGTTGCAAGGTGAAATGATGGACTTGCAACACGGTTCCAATTTCCTTAAGAATCCCAAAATCACCGCCAGCACCGATTACGAAGCAACTGCCGGTTCGCGTCTATGCATTGTGACAGCTGGCGTACGCCAAAAGGAAGGCGAATCACGTTTGTCGTTGGTGCAACGCAACACCGACATACTCAAGCACATCATTCCCAAGTTGGTGCAACACTCACCGGACACCATTTTGTTGATGGTCTCCAATCCAGTGGATATTATGACCTATGTCGCATGGAAATTATCCGGTTTGCCAAAGAATCGTGTCATTGGCAGTGGCACCAATTTGGATTCGTCACGATTCCGTTTTCTGATGTCACAGCGTTTGGGTGTAGCGCCCACATCTTGCCATGGCTGGATCATTGGTGAGCATGGTGACAGTTCAGTGGCTGTGTGGTCGGGTGTGAATATTGCTGGCGTGCGCTTGCGTGAGTTGAATCCGAACATTGGCACAACTGAAGATCCAGAAAATTGGCAACAAGTACACAAGAAGGTCATCGATTCGGCCTATGAAGTGATCAAGTTGAAGGGTTACACCTCATGGGCCATTGGCTTGAGCTCAGCTGCGCTAGCATCGGCCATCTTGAACAATACAAGCAACATTGTGGCTGTCTCAACTTCAGTACAGGTGAGTTGTTGAATGGCATTGTTGCGAATTTTTTATTTCATACAACTAAATTTGTCCGTTGTTTTTTTCTGTTGAATAGGGTGAACACGGTATTGACAAGGATGTGTTCTTGTCCTTGCCTTGCGTCTTGAATGCCAACGGCATTACCTCGCTCGTCAAGCAGATACTCACACCCACCGAAGTGGAGCAATTGCAGAAGTCGGCCAATATAATGGATGAAGTGCAGAAGGGCATTAATTTTTAAGCAGCATTCGAGTGAAGAGAGCTAATTATTGGCTAAGCATAGGAATAAGACGAGGCAGAGAAAGCAAGCAGAGGAGGAAGAAGAAGAAGAAGAGGCAGTAAACACGTAGAAAATTTGTAAATTAAGTTTTTACGCTGGATAAACTTACAGAAAAAAGTATTTATTGAAATAATGTTAAATGTGTAATAAGAAAGAAAACACGCCACTTTTTTGTTTGTAGTCGAATTTCATACACTCACGCATACACGCATATTTGTACGCCATTAATTTATGTGTTTAATTTTAATTGTTTTTATTTTAAATGTTCCTAGTCTAAAAATACAAACAACACACACAAATAAAAGAAAACATTTTACTTTTACTATAAAAATTTAACCTGAGTTTTTTTTTATTTTCGTTTTCATACCCATTTAAAAAAAAAGTACATAAAAAAAAATTATTTCAATTAGCATTAAGTAGAAAAAAATAAACAACAAAAATATAAAATTGTGTACAAAATATTTTGCAATTATTGTCATTGCAAAATATCGAATACTATGAATCAACCGCAGCTACCTCATTAGCATAATTTTTGAAAAGGGTCGTCGTTGCGAATGCCAGCACTAACAGCAGCTGACCGGGTAGAGTGGCATAACAGCGTTTTGCAGCTAAAAGCGGAATTGCTAGATGGCAGCGCATCGGCAGCTAAGCAGCGATTACCCACATTGCATGTTAGCAACAATTTTTCTAATATAAATTTAAATACATACATACATATATTAAAATAATGGATAAACCAATTTTTAAAAAAGATAGTCGAAACAATATAACAATATCATTAAATTAGCAAGATATCAAGCGAAATGCATTATCATTCCTTTGAAAACGTACGTACGTAGTAAAATTTTGTGCATATTTTAACAGACTTATAAAAAACAAAAAATAGATGTAATCTTATGCAACTAACTAGTTTAAAATATACTTACAGAACTTATCAAAATTCGCACCCATTTGTAATTGATTATCAAATGCACGGTACTAGAATATACACACTCAAATACTCAGGAAATTATATAGCTCAACATTGTTTTTATCATTTGTTTAGCTGGAAAAATAGTTAAGTATGCAGGGTGTACCACAAACATTCAAGTTTTCATTATTGCGTACTGCCACTGCGCGGCACCTGGGTTCGATGGCATGGCAAACTTTCGACTGTACAACTGCCATGAAAAGGCTTCTCAAAAATCATTATCGATTTGGAGCCGGCGTAAAATTGAAGGTCTCCCCATTTGTGTTATTAGTTCGACCAAACACTTAGAAAAAATGTGAACTAAAAATATTTATTTATTTTTTTTACATCTAACTACGACGTGATTACTGAAGAGCTGTTAAAGTACGCTACAAAAAGAAACATATCAAAGTTTTCTGAGAAACCGTTATAAAGTAAGTTGCTTAAGTTTCGCTTGGATGCCATTTTCGACACAAACCAGCTCAATGGGAAGTCTGCGTTTATGTGTAGCAGACTTGAATGGGTAGAAGTTAAATTTCTGCAAGTCATAAAATACCTGGGGCCGAGAAGGTATGATCGAAACTAAATGTCTTTCTCGTAGTTCTGCTCCTCCCAAGAACACTTAAAACCCCAAACCAAAATGAGAACAAAACCTACAGGAGTGTTTTCCGAAGAACAAAAGTGAAAACAAAACTGTCGAGAACGTTCTCAACGGGAACTATTTATATAAGCAAAAACTCTTGCGAACATTCCCAAAGCGAACCAAATGCAAACAATTCGTTCGGGAACATTTCTGAGAGAAGAAATGGAGTAAAAGTCTGCGGAACGTTCTGGCAAAGTACATAACGGGAATAAAAGTTTAAGGACCTTTCTCTTGCATAACAATTTGGGGACTAAAGTTTCAGGAACATTCTGACTGAGAACGAACGGGAACAAACAATCCGTGAACTATGCGCTGCATTATTTTGAAATGTTTGAATATTAAAATTAATAAAAAAAAACTTAAAAATAATTATGTAAATTAAGTCAACGAAAGACTTAAGACACGAACTTTTATTGCACAGCAAATGAAAACGTGTTCCATAAATGGACAGTTCATCCTAATGGTAAACGATCTGGAAGTTGAAATGATCCAGATTTCCTCTCTCTGGATTAGAATTAACCATCACGCAGATGCCCCTGTCGTTCTTAACGTTATGTTCTCAGAATTTTGTTCCCGTTTTGTTCTCTAGCAGAACGTTCCCCATAATTTTTTTTTACTGCATCCTCCCTAAAAACCTCCTCGATACTTTCGTCCTGATTTCGTTCTCATTCGAAACGTTCCCGAAAGTTTTGTTCTCAATGGGCACGTTCAGAAGGCGCAACAGCTCAGTAACTGTTGCGATTGCACCTTCTGAATGCGTTGTTTTGTACTTCTGATCAACTGAACAGTTGCGTGTTAGATGATCGTAATATTTTTCTGATCATTTGAGACGACATGTTGTGTGTTTTGAATTTGACAGATAATGTATCAAGCCGTTCAGAAGACGCATTACTATCACTGATTTTTTTAGCAACGGTTGCGCTCAACTGCTGCGCCTTCTGAACCTATCCAATCTGTTCTTCTTTAGAACAACATTTATGTATGTTTTGTTGTTGTTTGTCTTATCTAAAGTGTCAAAAACTGTGCTGATTTTGAGTAAAAATTCAATTTAAAAAAAATTTGTACCTACGACTTTCTTTCTTAGTAAATTTTGTTTGCTTCTCGAAGCATTGATCCATCATATGCAAGGCCCAGTAATCAGCGTCTGTGCTGCGGAGTTAGGTGAACATCCCAAACGTTGCTTTTTAATCGCTTGTTTTGTATGGGAAAAGCTTTCACATGCAAAAAGATTTTGACAATATATATATTTTGTGAGAGGTAATTAAAAATATTTAACATTTTAGAGACCGAATAATTTGGGAAAAAAAATTAAATCAGCTGCTCTACTGATACTACCTGTTTAATATGCCTTGGGTAGTACAAAACATTGCAAAGAAGTACATTTGACTGTACTTCGAAGTACGAAGTACAAAGGCTCAAACAGAAGTACTGTACTTCCGAAAGAAGTACGGTTGGTCACATTATGTATATGCCATATCCAAACCGCTAAACCCTATAAATGCTAATACATACATTTTCTTCAATTTACACGTTTTCTAGTAGCATAGACGCAAACCATCATTACCGGCAGCTTTCATCAAGTTCTTCATACATTTTTACACACTTCCACGGTTGCCACTTCATCAAAATTTTGTGTACCATAATATACAAGTAAAAAGCACCATTTTTGCCGTCCAACGAAAATATATACAGTGACTCAAACAAGTTACCACGTTTTGATTTTTTTCTAATATTCGTAATGTTTTTCGAACAATTTTTTTTTTTTGTAATTTTTCTATAAACAATTACCGTACATGCTTTAACCCAAACCATATAAACATTTTCAAACTATATACAAAATTTAGGAAAATTTGACAAATTTTTATCAAAATTGCAATTTTTAATCTGAATCTTTAGAACATTTTTGGGTATGCAGTTTTATAGCCCATACTATCTTAGTCTAATAAAGGCAAGGTTCAAGCGCTTAAAAAGCCCGTTGATTTTTGAGAATTTTTTTTGTGACAGATTTTTGTACTTTTTCCATACAAGCATAAATTCCTTATGAAATAAAATGCGTTAGACCGTAAGCAACAAAATTTCAAAAAATCAACGCCAGTTTTTGTAAATTGCACTTGTTATATAAAAAAAAAACACTACAAAAGCAGCCTACAAACCAAAATTCTCAAAAATCAACGCGATTCGTAAGGCGGTTGAAACTTGCACTTCATTAGACTAAAAAAGTATGTGCTACAAAATTGCATACTCAAAAATATTCCATAGATTCAGATCAAAAAGTTGAAATTTGGATGAATATTTGTCGAATTTTCCTAAATTTTGTATAAGGCTTGAAACTGTGAGTGCTGCTTATTCAAATGAACGTTGCTTCAAAAAGCCCAATACTTACAAAAAAGGCCCAAAGGCCCAAACGGAGAAAAAAGGCGTATATTTGGTACAATTGTAGCTAAGTGGCAACCGTGCACACTTCCATATATTGCTCAAACTTGTGCACAATTTTTACATACAAACACATCCATGGATAAGTTATTATATGCACATACATACATATGTACATGCCCTGCTGCAAAAGTGCGCTCGACAATAAAGCTTGCTACCAGTGTTGCCACGGGAATTGTTTTTACCTACCAAAATTTCCTATTAAATCCAACCAAAACCTACCAACATTTTTTTGGGTTTTTAATGCATAATTTTAATGTCAAGTTTATTAAAAAAAGTAGATAACAAAAAATTTAGTAAAACTAAAACGCAGCTAGTACAATAAAAACCAACTAACTGTGTATAACAATTCATTTTTCTGTATAGGTTTATACAATGTCTCTGCATGTGTAATATTATTATTATTATTACGTCAGGAATACCCGCGCTGCGAGCTGAGAAGACCTATTGTGCTAAACCCAGCCCACAAAACCTGCAATCCGTCTCCAGAGAAAGCCCTATTTTATTCAAATTGCACCTTAACTTGCAGTGTCCTGTCTGGATGCCAGTAAAAGTTCTAAGCCTCTCCCGGCTATTTTCAAGAAGTCTGTCGGCATTCTTCCTACAGGGACTTATGAATCTCTTTGATTGTCTCATTCCCTTTGACTTCCGCCAGTAGTCAGCAATCTGAGATTCTTCCCAGTCCCTAAGTAATACTGCAATGTATCCTTTAGATGTACCCTTCATCATCCGGTGCCCACCACAGCGTTACGCCATTGTGGGCACTCAGGTATTTCTGCCTGATACCATTTTAAAGGAGTCTAAGGCCTTTAACGCCGCCTAACTTGCCGACATAATTTTATTTTGGCTCCATTTGTCTTCGATCTGACCTCTCGTTTTTTTAATTCCTTTTCAAAATTACTCTCAAACCTAAATCTCTTAGGTCTCACATTGCGATACAGATGTATTTCAATAAACTGATGAACTAATTCGAATCTGATTGCTCGCACAAATGGCAACCCTCCTCAATAAAGGGCAGAAATAAATCCCTTTCAAACCTATTTATGCCCATACTATAATAACTCATCCAACTTACTGGATAATTTCAATTTAACATTTTAAGCACGTGGCAACTCTCTTCAAACATTCTACATGTTAAAACTAACGATTTCTTAACACGTTTTACTAAAGTATTTTTATATTTCATACACTTTTTGAGTTAGTTAATTGAGTAGGACCTTTCAAACAGGTGGCAGCCCTGTTCAAAAATATTTTCAAGCTTAATTAATGTTAACTCTCCTTCACCGGACACTGCGATACATATTTTAATTAACTAATGATTAAAATTTATTAATTTTCAAACATGTGGCAACCCAGCTAAATACCGTTCAGGAATACAATTTTTTCAAACGCCTTTCGATTAATACCCATATTTAAATAATTCATTTAACTTATTAAATAATTTGAAGTTAACTTTTTAAACTGGTCGCAACCCTCTTTCAACACCTCAAAAATATTCTTAGCATTCAAACTATAAATTTCATAGCACTCCTTCATTTGACATACATATTTTGATGTTTCATATAACTTGTGTATAAGTAAATTTAATTCGTCATTTCAAGTAAGTGGCAACCCTATTACAAATATTTTGAAGCTACTACTTTCTGAAACCCCTTTCGTTTGGTACCCATATGGTGATACATATTCTTCTTACCTAATATGATTTTTTTAACAGGTGGCAACTCTCCTATAGTTCAGCTAGGAAACAAAGATTTTCAAAACCATTTCGCATGATAACCATTTTGTAATAATTGATTTATTTTTTTTATTATCTAATTTGAATATAACTCTTTAAAAGGTGGCAACTCTTTTCAAAAAAAAAATAAAATCTTATTGCACAACTACAGTTCAAGCCTTTTGATTTGACACCTCATTTTGGAAAATCGAACGAACAGTGCAGATATGAGGGCAGTGATTATTAAATGTATGGAATTTAATTGTTCAAAAGGTGGCAACTCTTTTTCAAAAAATAAAACCAGTTTGCACATCTACAGGCCAAGCGCTTTAATTTGGCACCCGACAAAAAATGCCTTCGCGTATTATATATATAGATTGTCGCAGACCCTACCAAAATCAAATATAGCCTACCAAAATGGATAAAAACCTACCAGTTTGGGTAGGAAAAGCCCATGTGTGGCAACACTGCTTGCTACTCAAACTTTGAAAGTATGAATGCATTTTCTCAGTACGTCCGAAAATCAGCGAGCTTGGCCGGATCCCAAGTAGTAGACACGTTTGGCCTTGCAAATTTTTCAAGCAAACTTCAAATGTTTGCTAATGGCTACTACATACATATATCTAGTAATATCTTCTGCTGATAGAAACATGTGTACGTGTCTAAGTCATTTGTGTTCGCACCATCTAAGATCTTTCTTCAGGCAACATAATAAATAACGTCTGTGACACAGCAAACACAAATGGGACCGCGTGCGAATAAGCATTGATATCGGATTGCATGCACAATCAGTGTATGTAATTCAACTACTCGAGTCAACACTTCCGATCGCACATCTTTGCGCTACGTGCTACGTTAAGAAAATCATCAGTGACAACGCTGCGCATACAACTGGTGATATCAGTTACCGATAAGGGCGCACAGCTTAAAGAATAAAAATCAATATGTGTTTGGCATAAAAGCACTAAACCGCGACTGCTAACGACTAGAAGACAACAACGTTGCCTAACAACGCGGACAGGCAGACAGACGGCACGGCGGACAGTTTATGTGCTGAGTAGAATTTTTTTTAATTTTTCGCCGGCGCTTTTTTGACTTAATAATGCAACAAAAACGAATTTATTTACATTCCCTCTGCCTGTTTAGCGCATTTGTGTATTTTACGTCTAGCAAGATCAACGCTAGCGGTACAAAGGACGCGAAGGACTTAGAACAACAGCAACCGACGGTTGAGGCTATACAGCAGCGAAATTTTGAATTGTTGCAAGACACGTTGCCGCTCGGTTGGAAGGCCTTCTGTGAGTTGTGTGTGAATTATGCTCATTGATTGACGCACGTCTCGTTTTTTTTCGGGATTCCTATACAATAATAATTTGCATAATTTTCTTTCAGGCGAAGCTCCCGTTGACGAATCGGTTATGCTGCTACACAGCGGCATAAATCCCTGCGATGCCAGCATCCACGTAATGACGCTGACTAATCAAAGCGTACAACTGCCCATTAAAGCCATTTCGGAAATACGCGACTACGATATCAATCCCAAACGTAAGACGCTCATCTACGTGAATGCCTACTACACCGCTGACACCTATTTCAGCGTGCAAGCGCATCTGAAGCTGCTGCAAATGACACGTCGCGATCTGAATATTGTTCTCGTGGACTTTGCCAGCGATGTGCTACAGCTGTACTACACGGTGCGGCATCACGTTGCCGTACAGGGCCACTTTGTGGCGAAAATACTTAGTGCATTGACGCAGCATGGCATCGCCGCGGAGGACATCACCTTGGCGGGTCATTCAGTGGGCGCTAACGTAGCCGCGCTAGCTGCGACCATCTACGCTAGCCAAGCGTCAACCGCCGGTGTGCGTATGGGACAATTAGTGGCCATTGATCCGGCGCTGATGTGTCAATCGTCCGACATGCACGTGCATGCGAATGTTAGCACGCGCGTAATAGTCATACATGGCGAGGGCGATGTGTTTGGCGTGCGTGAGCGACGTGGCACGATCGATATCTATCCGAATGGTATAGGTTACTTTACGCGTCGGAAATTGCAACCAGGTTGTACCACGAAAAGTTGCAGCCATATGTACGCGTTCGTTTTGTTTATGGAAGCGCTGGTCGAGGGTGTTATGATACCGGCAGTGAAGTGTGATAGCTGGTCACATTTCCGTAAACGGCAATGCGATTTCAACGATGCGGTGGCGATCGGTTTGAAATATCCCGACAAGGCTCGAGGCGTGTACTTTTGCTTAACGCAACCAAATCCGCCATTTACTTTCATGGAATACGGCATAAAGTATCAGCGCAGCATGGTTTCGGCAGTTGATGCGAATTCAGTGTAGCAAATGGGTTGATAGTATAAGTGAGAGCATAAGACTTGAAATTAAATGAAACAGGGAGGAAGGCATAGTAGCAGCCTGATTATGGCAGCTAAACTTAACTTCACTTAACGGAACTTAGAACTTAGAAAATCAAAATGAAACTGATTTCGGCGTGGCATTATGTTACGTTAAGTTTTGGCTGTTCAATTATAAGCAATATCTATTTAAGAGAATTTTTGAGTGAGAGCCTGTAAGTTACGTTAAGTTGTCATAATTAGACCATAAGACATCCATAATTTTGTAAGTCATAACATTGAAAGCTTGGTTTCGGTAACTTTATGTAATAGAACCGTTTTTACGTAAAGGGTATGTAGGCACAATCCAAAAGCTTAACTATGTCATTTCTGTTTAAAAATATTAGTTATCGAAGGTCACGTTATGGAACTTTGACTGTAGGTATGCCTAGTGATAATGAAAAAAATAAGTAAAAACAAAAAACCGAATTTCCATTTTAAGATTTAAGTATGTAAATGGATTTGTGAATTTTTTAAATCGCTCCTAGAAGATCTATCTATGTGTTTATTTGAAAATAAAAATGCATAACGACGTTGAGAATTCCAGAAATCTGAGAGGAACTTACTTCAACTAACTGTCTGTTGAACCTTAAACCAGAAACCTATGACTAGATGAAACAATTGTCCATTAAGAAACAAAAAATAATCTGAAGTTTTTGGTGATATGATTAGGCATGGTCAAATCTATGCTTCTGTAAAAGAAAGGTTTTAATAAATCCTTTGGTTTCAAAGTTATATGCATTCGAATGTGCACAGCCGACGTTTGAAGTTCAAAGGGTTGTGTCAGAAAGTTTGAAATTTCTATGAAATGGGTAAATGAATATTGCAAGTTTTCCAGTATCCCATCCACAATGAATGTAGGAGGACATTTGCATACTCAGTTGTTGTAAATTTTAGGTTTTTGACAGTTTTTTTCTCATAAAATTTGGGCACTGGCTGCGTTACACAAAACACTGGGCGCGTTACATGTACGGTTCGCTTGGGCAAGGTTTAACCAAAAGGCTTTGAACATCCATTTTTTCATCGCATTCCTATTCTGTCATCAACAGCAAATGTTTGAGCTAAAATTGGGTATGTAGTTTCTTTTTTCTATTGAAGGATTAAAAAATATAACTAGAGTATCCTTAAAAATTCCAACTAGGCCAACAATGTTCCTACAGTAAAGTTTTTGAATGGAAAATCTTCGTATTATCGTCGCAAGTGTGAGTTCTGGGCATCGAAGTTCTGAGTATCGAAGTCCTTCTCTCTCAAGCGGAAGCGTAGTTCATACTTATACTACGATGGACCAGAATTGGAGAGGAGATCTTTCCACCTTGTGGTCAGCCTACAACTACCTATTTATTCTTTCTGGAGGCTATAATTTTACGTGTAAGAAGAGCGTGCAGGGGTGACCTTCCTGGTAGATAAGTATATACAGGCCCATGGAGAGGCGAGAGAAAAGGGGAAAATCATCCCGGGCCCGGGCTTTTTAAGAGGCCTGAAATATCACAACGAAAAACTGTTCTTAGTTTTTTACAATTTAATTTTGAAAGAAATCAACAAAAACATAATATATATGTATATATGTAGATATATAAATATAGGTAAAGAAAATTATATATATAAGCTCCCCTCTTGGCATTTTTCTCCATATAAGGTAAGTATGAGTGAATGTTTTGTTATATGGAGAAATATGCCAAGAGCCGTCAGCAAAAAAAAAACAACAATCTCTTAACAATAAATATACTTTTAGGAATTGGGCGTGGCACCGCCCACTTTACGACTACAAGGTGTATCTCGGTAACCACTTTATAGATTTATACCAAACTTGGTTCAATTATTCCATTTACTCTAATTCAGCATATTATCGAAAAAGTTTGAAATCGGGAAAAATCTCCCTACTTATCATGCAAATGTGGTTTAGAGAAAATTGTAACGACGATATTTGGTTATATAAGATTCGGTTTCGCCCGAACTTATACTTCTTGACTTGTTTTAGTGTCACTCCCTTCTCTCGTCAAAAAAAAAAGCTTAAGCATTATTCTTGCATTTATTTCAGTCAATGCAGTTCCAGAGAGAAGTTCCATAAAAAAACAATTTTACCCTTAAAATGTTTATTTAGGCGAAAAACTACCGAAATAACTAATTTTTTCATTGTCACTCGAAAAAATCATAATTGCTTTTGTTTTTTTTTAATAACTCTGGTAAGTTTTCAAATAGAATATTCATGTTTGAGGCAATGGAAGTTGGCATCAAATACGACATATCGGAGAAGTTTCAAGAGTGTACATCCAAATCAAAAAAAAAAATAGTAGCATGTAGAGTATGGAATGGAATGTGGAATGGCTACAATTTTGTAATTTTTGGAATTTTACAATTTGTTTTTAATAATTTAAATTACTTCAAAATCTTAAAATTAAACGATAAAAATGTTCTTTCCAAAACTAACGAAACTAGTGTAATAAGACTTGTGTCTCACCAAATGACAAAAAATTACTTTGAGTAAAACATGACTATGATTTGAGAAACTTAAGTTCCATTTTTTAAATTTTTACTGGTGCACTCGAAATGCAACCTAAAATTGTTATATACACGAAGAAAGAAATATATATGGGCATGAGGAATGCTGTGTAAAAATCTTAAACGCCAATATTTAAGCACTTTTATAAATAATATGGCTTTCAAATTAAGGCGTGCGAGTAAACATGTTTGATGACTTCGTATGGTGCTACGGGGCGTATACGTTACATACGCAACTACGGATATATGAGCATGAGTGGTTATTTTTAACTTTTTTTACCGACTTCCAAAAAAAGAAGGAGGTTATCTGTTCGTCGGAATATATTTTTTTTTATGTATGTTACCGCATAACTTTGGACCACGTCAACCGATTTCGATAATTCTGTCTTTCTTTTGCTTCGGAAAGGTAGTGTCTCAGAGGTGGCCCCATACTAATCTGGTTAAGATCCGATCAGTGGATCATGAGATATATATATATATGTATATATTTTTTTTATATGAGAATTGAAGTCGGTTTTTTTTGCTAAAAATTACTTGGTTAGTATATCGTTTTTAAGTTTTCATTTAAACACAATTTCGCGATGGAATCTTGTTCTTTATACAAAACTGAAGAGAATGCATTTTCTAAGATAGGTGAACCACCATTTTGGACCAAAAACACGTGTTTGTCGAAAAATGGTAACAACTCGTGGGATTCGCTTATATTACCAAAAACATATCTTTTCCCCAATGATATTTGATACCCATTTTGTGGCTATTATTTAAAAAATTGGTATATTCACATTAATCTAAGGTCGCTGTATTCGAATCTGAAGTCAAAAAAAAAAACACAAAACAAAACGGCCGATCCAATGTGGCCCCTAAAATCTTAGACACAAAAAATTTGTTAAAAATAATTATAAGAATGGCTTAGGTTTACATTATTTAAGAGTTAGTTATTGGGGTCGTTAAATTCGAGTCCGAAATCAAAATAACTAAAAACAATATGGCGCCTGAAACTAATAGAAATGTGTTGAGTTTGAAAAATATTTAACAAATTCACGTAAAATTTTGTTATATTTGTTTTGTTTTAGTTTGTATTTAAAGTTCTGAAATAAAAGAAATGCTGCTGAATTATAAAATAATCATGTTGGCGTGTATCTTACATGAAATTGGTTGAAAAAAAAAAATTATTTAAAAAATCAAAACTTTCAATATTGTATGGTACAAAATCGCGTCTTAGAAGAAAACCCAATATGACAAAATTTAGCATTACATTTTTACTTTTCAGAGCTCTGCGTCAACTAACACTTTCACACTGATCATACAAACAGATGCAAAAGATAGGGACCTGTCTTGGACAAATTTCGATAGCTGAAACATCATTTTAGTCAACCCAAGAGAATAAAACCCCAATATCTACGCTTTTTTGGATTTATTTTGCACGAATTGATGACCAAAAAACACTGTGCGGCGTCGCTTTCCAATTTTGTTTGGAAAACAATAACACCACAGGTTTTACGGTTAGAAAATATCTCAAAATGTAGACGATTTTGAAACACAATTTGGAACGAACTGTGAACACCCCATACACCAGAAAACAAACAAGTATGTTTGCTTACAATGAAATCGAACAAATAAATAAATATATTTAAATAAATAAAAAATAATCAAAGTAATCACCAATCAATTATTTATTTTGATTATTTTTGATTATTATTTATTACTTTTTTAATGAAAAATAATTTTTTAATGAAAAATAATCATGATTATATATTGATTATTTCTAATTATAAATATTTTTTATAAGAAAAAAATCGGTATTTTTTCCTTTTAAGTGTTTCTTCTCCAATTTTTATATACGAAGTATACAAATATACATATCAGAAGAAAGGAGGTTTAATCGCCTTTACAACGGTATCAATTGTTTAAACATCGGTTGGAAATTTTTTTGTTAAAAATATTTTTTTTTATAAAAAATATGTTTTTATAAAAAAAAAAATATTTTTGCTTTGAATGTTTTTCTCAAACGAAGTATACAAATATGCATAGCAGAAGAAAGGGGATTTAATCATATTTACGAATTTTTTAAAAATCGGTTAGTCTTTTTTTTGTTTAAAATATTTTTAAAAAAAGGTATTTTTGTGTTTTTTTTTTCTCAAATTTGTATATACGAAGTATACAAATATGCATATAGGAAGAAAGGGGATTTAATCATGTTTACAACGATACCAATTTTTTTAAAATCAGTTAATATTTTTTTTGTTTAAAATATTTTTTTTTCAATAAAAAATTTATGTTTTCATTTAAATGTGTTTTTTCTAAAATTTTGATATACGAAGTATACAAATGTGCATATCAGAAGAAAGGGGGTTTAATCACCATTGCAATGATATAAATTTTATAAAAAAAAATCATCTTGAAGCGAAAGGCTAAGCGATTCCCATCGCCAAATTCGATTCCATTTTAATTTCTGCGGTAATCGTGCTTTTTGCTGGGTAGTGCGTCACCCATACATAAGCGCCAAACGATCTCCTCTCAAAAAAAAATTAAAAAAATAAAACTACCTGCAATCCAAGAATGATAGAATACAAGATTGCGCCGATCAGAGAGGATTTTTGAGAATAACTTTTGTGTAACGTCACACTGGTGCAATTGCGAGAGAGAAATGCCAAAACGTGAGCAAGAATGGAAGAAGAAGAAAAAATGTTGCAAGGAAAACGTAAACATGTTGCACCAGTGTGACGTCATGCAAACAACGATTCTGTCAAATTCGTTAAGAGAAGAATAGCGGTCCGAGATCGGCGCAACCTTTGTATTCTCTCAATCGTGCCTGCAATCGTTGAATAACCAGTTGTCTAGCGTCTACTCTCTGATGTCGTGTTTGCGTTCAAAGTCTGGTTAAAGCTGAGTGATTATTGCATTAACTTTGTATTTGTACTGTTGGTAGCTGGTTGGGAGAACTTTTTCGTATAACTTCATCGGTTTAATGTTAAGAGCGCTTCTCTCGACCAATTGGAGCGCAGTTTTAGCGCGGCTGGCAAGCGATCGAGTTGTGGCTCGAGTAGTAAAACTTTCGCGTACGCAAGCATAAAACGCGGATTAGGAAATGAAAACAAAAAAAAATGAAAAATTTAAATAAAAATTAAATAAACTAAGAAAAAATAAAACAAAAAGAAAATTGAAAAGCAAAACTGAAATGAAATACGTACTACATACAAGTACACATGAATGTAGTACACACATATGTGTTGTGGAAATTTGATGAAAACTCGTAGAAAAATAAGCAAGTTCTAAA